CCCAGAAAAACAACAAGAACAGCAACAGACAGTTAATTTGAAAACATGGAAATATAAATGGTTACTCGTCTACGCCAGCCTTTTACATCCATACTGTGCATCTAACAACAGTTTAGTCTCAAACTGAGCTTCTTAAACCTCGTCTGTCATCATTAAACTGACGTCATCTCGCTTGCATACACTCTGAAGACAGATTGAGTTTAGCAAAAATAAAAGGATGATTATATCAGAAATGCTACAGCAGCAAGAAGGGCATGCTGGAGGTCATCTACTGTGAAAACAGAGATGCAGTCAGCGGTTTTTCTAGCTGTCCTTGGTGTCAGATGATGACGCTTGCACCGGGGGATGGCGGGGTTCAGCACCACGGCTGTGCTTGCTCACATGTGGTGCAAAAGAGCCCAGATACTGGGGTAATCCAGGTTTATCACGTCTTTCAGTCGTCTCAGTCTGTCCAGGTTGATCTGTTGAGTGCCAGATGTTCAAAATAGTTGGTACTTCCTGTGCAGTAGACTTTAGGTGTAGTCAAGCAAGTTGTTGGCAGCCTCGGGGTAGTTATTTTTTAACCTCTATTGAATGAATGGGGAGAGATCCATAACCTTTATTTCAAAGGTCTCCAGGATATAAAAAAGGTTACTTATGGAATACATGGAAATGAAAACCTCTTCAAATGGTTTCTGACTTTGCCCCAAAAATAAGAGTTAAACTTTTTTTTTTCTTCTGATACGCATGCAGAAAGTTACACGATACTACTGCTTCGTTAGTCGAGAGTGCTGACCTCAACCTCTCTGGCTTCACTTTACTGATAAAAAGCCATGCTAATAATGTAATGTACATTTATTTATATGCCTACTACGATAGCAAGTAGATATGCCTGCTGTGCACACGTTTCCCAGTTTGAATGTTGACTGGCAATTATTAAATTCTCCTTTCCTTTTTGAGGAATCTGCTCTCTCTCTTTCTGTCTCTCTCTCTATAGCACCTCTTTTTCCTATCAGCAGCTTGTTTTCTGGGCTTGGAAGGGTAGATGTAGGTCAGTCATGCAGTTACCATGGCTTGTCTAGCAAACGCGGTTTTTGGCCACTGTTGCTTCCATGCAGATTAGTCTTGGAAAGGATCTCAGCCCGGGGGATCTGATCTTCCCAAGAGATCATCTTTTTAAGGCACAAGATGTTAGCAGTGCTTTGTTTTTTTAAATATACCTTTTGTATGGCGTCCATGTTTGTGCCCCATCGAGCATGGCGACGACAGATTACCACAGTGTATGCACCAGTCTTGGTGCCAACTTTCGGGTATTACAAGACTGTAGTTGGAGGAGCGTGCGAAGCCAAAATGGGTGAACTTTGGTTGGAACACCATTCGTTAAGAAGGGGGAGGGAAAAGAGACTGTTTGCCTTAGGAAGCCAAAGGCATGGTATTTATGTTTAGGGCATGCTGTATGGACTCTTGGCTTAGTGCAGTCTTGGAGTCATGGTGGAGCTCACAGATTTGGCAGCTTCTCATTTTTGTTTGGGCCTGTAACTGTTTTCTGTCATTGTTGCACTCCAGGTATACTTCATCTTTGAGTCCATGTCGAAGATGACTCTTGGTTGGTAATACTTGCTTGGTCGGGACCTTTACAGTTTTAACTCTGCTCAGATTGATGTAGAAGTACTGATCCTTGTACTACTCGGTTGCTTATGGTGGTGGTCTTTTCAGCTGTGTTAGTTTGAGTTTTATGTTCGCTGACGTTCTGCACATAAGAGGGGCTCTTCATTTTCCCCAGGTTATACTGACAAAGGACTTTATGTCACAGAAGACGGCCTGTGCTCACTCGACCTTTTAAGACTCTCATGAGTATTTTTGGTATTTTTAGCTGGGGTTTTTTGAATGAAAGATTTGTGTCCAACTCCCTTTAATGAGGAATTCCACCTGATTGGTATGGATAGTATCTTTTTTTTTTTATTTACGTAAAAGTCTCTGTGTAGTAGGGTTGGAATTATTGATTAAGTTGTTTCTGGCTAATCAATTTATTGCTCTGTTTAAATCATATCAGGGAATAGTGACAGAAGGTAACTGTCATGGAACAACATGGAACAAAGTGGAATGCCAAGGAAACTAGCCAATTTATACAAACTCATTTAAAAAAGTGTTCAAATATTTAGCCAGAATTATGTCAGAAGCTTGTTCATGACTAGCAATTTAATTAAATGTAACATTTAATCAAAAATTAGTGGGGGTGTATGTATATATTTGAGCCTGAATATATACTTTTGATTGATTGGAGAAAATCCGAAATAAATTAAAATTTGAAATTGAAATGATCAAAAGTCCAAAATTATCATGGCATTCATGCCTTTTTCACCACTGCTGTATCCTTAAAATCTGAATGATATTCAGTATTAAAGACTAAGCAAAGTAACTTTTTAATTTTTGTCAGTTAAAGTTTATGAAAATGTTTCTGATGCGATTATTTTAATGCAACTGTAGCAGATTAGCAGATCAATTTATTAACTAAGTAATCGGCTTGGAATTTACTGTAAAAAGTATTTCAAACATATATTTCAAAGGTGTAGCAATGCGAGCATTTAACCGTGTTTTGTAACACTGTAACGGGTCTCATATTTGAGCACACAATAAAGCAGGACATGGCATGAGAGGCTTTGACGTTTGTCGAGAGGAATTTTAAGTCTTGCAGATGTTGCTGCACAATGGTTAGAGGGAAACACAGAAATCTCTGTCATGGCGCCCCTTTCATCCACTTCACATCATTATTCGAGCATGGGAAACCTCAACAAGAAAAACGTGTATCCTCACATTGTTCACGTGGAAAAATGTTAGGAGTAACTGTTCTAAACACTACAACCAAATTTCATTAACAATGAAAAAATTGTCAGTTCTTTACTGTAAGCGCTGAATCACTGCTTAGGGGGATATCATCATAGATAAACATTTAATTTGTTCTCAGATGTTGTCGCTGCACGTACTTTCAGGCCCAATTTACGGACAGCGACAGACATTTGGTCCATGTTCGGTTGGTTCAAAAACAAGAGGCCAAAAATAACCTCTTGAATAGACACTGCTCGCCAAGTGATAAAGATCTCTCCATTGTTGGTTTCAGGGGTGGTGCGGAGTTTCAAAGAGGCAACATACTCATTAGCTTGTTTGTGCATGTGTGTGCGCATAAGTGTGTGTTAGCATTTTTGAATGTAGTTGCATGATTACTGAAGTGAGTGAACAATGTGTCTGTGTGTAATTATCCATAAACACTGTCCAAACTATTTTTTAATCTGAGACCAACAACCTGATGACAAGACGTCAGTTAAAAATCGAGTTTTATGTGTAAATATTCTATTTTTGGTCTACTCTATTTACTTTAATCAAGTGGTTGATACATTTTTTATTAAAGTTTATTAGTACTGGGAATATATGCGAGTATATGGCATGAACTGATGCCATACACCTCAGTATTTTTAGCATAAGCTACAATTTGAAATCCCTGTAAGACTGAAAAATACATAAACCACAGCTACAGATACAGAAACTGATTAGGAAACTACAGGCAGAACAAATGAAGAGCACAAACAGTAAGAATGCATCAAGAAGCACCCATTCATGGCTAATTGCCTTTTTAAAACTGTTTAATTAATTTAAAATGAATCAGCATTCACTTTGGGTTCTGCATGTAAGAAATCCCAATGTTGGATTCACATGAGAGTACCTTACAGTTCCTTTTGGACATTCAGTGTCTTTCTGAGCCTGAAACTCTTAAGTGGAACCACAAGGGACAATTATGCAATCTTGCTCTCATAACTGTGTGACTAACTGTGTCATTAAGGGCCCGCCTGTTGTAGCTACTGACTATGACAAGAAGGTTACACAATAAGTTAAATATGAAGAGATTGCAGGAAGATCATTAAGCTATTTTCAGCATGAAATTGTCTCTAATAAGTCTAAGCATCAGTAAGCTTGCTTTTTCAACCTTGTCCCACATTGACATGCTTCTCAAAAACCATTTGCACATTGTCTATTTATTCTGGTTGCATACAGAAAATATGAGCAGTCAATATGATACCATATATTTGTGCAGACAGTACTTCACTAGCCCTTTAAAGCCAAGCGTATTGTATTTGATACATGTGTTTTTGTGAGTTTTTGAGACTTCTACATCATCAGCGTGACCTTTTTTGGCCCTCAAAAACTGATATAAATTGCATGTCACATTTTTAATGACTAAATTCCAAAAATATGGCTAATGTAGCAAATGTGATACAAATTAAAAGTCATACATGCAGATTCAAATCTGATATATATTTTTTTATATTTTTTTGTCTAAAAGGTACAACAAACACTCCATTATCAAAAAATTAAGGATTTCTGGCAGTTAGTTCATGGTTAAATAGATATTTATAATCTTGATTATTTTTGGAGGCTTTTTGCTGTTATTTGATCTTACAGTGAAGATTAGATAGAAAAGTGGGGAAACAGACAAAGCCTCAAGTCAGAGTTGAACCCAGGCTACTAAATTTAACCTCAAGGTATGTGGTTGCTTAGTAACATCAGGGCTAAACCAGCAACCCTAGGTATTTATTGAAAAAGTTAAGGATGTTAATAAAAGTCTTATGAAGAGGGAGCTTTTATCTGTTTCCTTATTTCCTGCCATATATACATCATTACAGTGAGCACATTAAGGGGTTTATCCCATCTTGGAGCTGCATGATGTCAGAGTCACACAGAGAGAGCACAGCAGCCCACCCAACTGCTTCTTAAACCTTTTGTTTGGGAGGGGGAGCCAATCAGAAGAAAATTAGGGTCCACTTTAAAGTAAACGAAGATTATTTTGATCAATGAATCGTGCAAATCTATTTAAAAATAAAAATTTGCCTCTAAAAAAGAATTTAGATTTTCTTACAGGTGTACTTTAAGACAGAAACCAAGAAATGCATGCACACTGTGGTTAAAGGAACATTCTTTAAGGAACAAATTGCCAAAGTTTATTTATGTGTTTCTCCGCTCATCCACAGCAAACTACGACACCAAGCACAGAGTGAGCGGTTTGGATACAGAGAGGTAAGACTGGTGTTGATAATTTAAGATATTTAGGCTGTTAATTTTTTTAAAAGCATTACTTTAAAAAATATCTTGTGTTATTCCTACAGGTAGTTTTAAAAGGAGATCCAAAAAAGTTGAGTCTTCATGGGGTAAGAATGAAATTTACATTTCTACCTGTTTGCGTTCAGCTTTAAGCTGTTGAAGCAGGATAATTTAATCTAACGACTGTCCTCTCCCGCTTCCTTCCGTCTGTCACTCACGCAGCAGACGTGTGCTGTGTGTCTGGAGGACTTCAAAGTGAAAGACGAGCTGGGAGTGTTGCCATGCCAACATGCTTTCCACAGGAAGTGAGTAGAGCACAGTGGAGTCTTTCTTCACACTCGCTTGCCAGTTTGCACCTGCTAGGGCTTGGTAAAGTGAAAATGGTCACGTCTGATGTGAAGTCCACTGATCAAAAGTTAAATGGAAATTTTTGGTGGAGTACTCGTCATCATTCATTCATGTCTTGGTTCCTGCTGAGGATCCCAGCATGCACATCAGACAGAGCTAGTCTGAAGACCTTGCAGAGGAGGCAAAGCTATATCCTTGTGCTTTCAGTTGTCTAAAATTGAAATGCTTCTTAATGTGAGAAGGTTTTTTTTTTTTTACTGGGTTCTGTGAGAAGAGTTTAAAAGCAAAGAGGCCTTATCAGAGGAGCAATTTGATATTCTGGGCTAGCAGCCTTGGGCTACAGTAGTTTTGGTATGAATTGCTAAACATTCTCTACTTCATGGTTTAACTACAGTCAAAGGCAGCAGGACATTATTTTGGTTTCTTAAGACTCTCTTACAGAAAGATAGAACTGAAAAAGCTCTGTGAGTCAAATATTGCAAGTAAACAACCATATGTGGGTTGCTGCTATTGCCTAAAGACATTTGTGTCAAGCATTCCTGAGATGACACTTGCATTAGGAGATAGATGTTGCAGAGGTGGCGCAAACAAACTTGTCTGTGTGGGGGTTTACCTCTCATATAGGACGTGGGGTTTTTTTTTTTGTTGTTGTTGTTTGCTTGTTTTTGTTTTTTTTAACTTTTCCAGTGGTTTGTTGAGGTTTAGGCACCAAAACGGCTTTGTCAGAGTTATGTCACTTTTCTAGGTTTCAAGGATATGTACGTCCATATCATTATTATTCTTGAACACTTCTACACTTCATACAAGTTTCCGAATAATCGGCTTCGGTGCAGCCTTTCATTTATTCCCCTCTCTAAAATGAGCCATAGCTCCTCCCCTTTTAATTCTTCCTTTTTCTGATTGGCTCCAGCTCACAAACAGAAGGTCTGAACTGCAGACACGTGGAGCTGCTGTGCTCACAGCCAGAGCTGCATGTATCTGCCGATTTTTAGGATCATCTGAAGCCTGAGCTTTTGGCAGACAGGTATTATTTGTATATGCTCTGATCCCATTATTTGAAACTCTGGTCTTGTTTAATATAAGCATCCTTCATTTATTGCACACAGCTTTAGTTGGATCAATTCAGATGGCCGAAGAGATTTCTTGGTTTTAAAACATGACTCTAGGAGCAGCTTGCACAAGTGACCCGTCCAGCTGTTTTCTCAGTAAGAAGAGCTTCAGTAAGATGTAGCATACTTAAAAATCTATTACCATGACCACTGGGAAAACTGTGGGGAACCTGATTCCATCCAAAGGTAACAGAACCTTCATACCAGCACCAGCAAAGCTAAAGCACATTCTGCTTGTCCATCCCGTAAACTGTAAAACCGACACATTGGGGAGACTGTGCATATGTCTATTTTCGGTCCAACTTTCTGCAGTCTTGTCATCACTGTGAGACGACCAGCACAGGCTCCAGGAATTAACGGCCCCCAGCCTAGAAATAGTTTCTGCAAATGCTGCTTACGCATGAATGGCGACAGCATCGCATTTTGATTGCTGGTGGAAGTGAGTTCTAAAGGGCTCTCACATACTCATGCATGGGTCATAAGCTTGCCACTCTGTGAAAAAATGACCAAGCTGTTAAACATTGAAGATTTTGTTGAAGTTAGTCCAGCTTTCTTTTTCCTCATTCCTGTCCTGTCTGTGTTCCTCTATGCAGGTGTTTGGTAAAGTGGCTGGAGGTGCGCTGCGTCTGCCCCATGTGCAACAAACCCATAGCCGGCCCGCCCGAGCAGCACCACAGTATAGGAACTCTGCTGGATGAACTGGTATAACCTCTCAGCCTCAACCAGCCTGGTTGGGACGCCGACGCCTGGCCAAACTAGCTGGTGTGAGTTACAGACCATCAGGAAGAGGGAGACCGCTTTGCTGTTTAAACACGGCAAAGCACAAAAATGAACTGAAGGATGCTGTTGCCTAGCAACAATCTCCATGATAGCAACACAACACCTTGTGGTTGAGATTATCTTCAGCCGCCCACACATCACTCCAGCCCTCTCCTTTCACGATCCCGTTCTACATGCCTTTTCTCCACGTCCCTCACATCCTCTCTTGTTGGTTCGACTGAGGTTAACAACAGCACTGAACGGAGGGCAGTTTTTTCTCACTGAAGTGGACAAATGAGTGTTGATGAACAGCGGTGCTCGCAAGAAGATGCCGATCCCCCCTGAGTGTGTATCAATGCTGCCTGTCATGTGCTACCTGGGGTTAAATATTATCCATATTGGCTGAGTTATTTAAAACTCAAATGGGAAAAATGATTCCATTACGTGGCACTCCATGAATTTTTTTCAGTTGACAAGTTTTGAGACAAAATTATAGTTTGTGTTTGACATTCCCAGCAGTAGCTCAAGGTCAGTTTTTAAGATGCAGTAGAAAAGAAGAACAAACTGCAGCCGAGGAGAAAAAATATCACTGTAGCAAAGAGGGCTTAATAAAACTAAGAAATACTTTTTTTATGATTAAATTGAGGTCATGCTGCTTAAAATTCAAGGAAACGGTTATTCATATTGCATTTATTCAGATGAACTCAGAACAGTGGTAGAAAAAGAGCGGGACATGAAGCTGCCCTTGCTCACGTGTAGCACGCAAAAGGTGATGAATTTACTAGAAATGTTCTGAAAGGCTGAGCTGAGGCGTGGTGCCTAGGTTTAATGTGCAGAAGAGCCGTTTGCTGTGAATCCTCCAGACAGTTGGCTGCTCTATATATAGAAAAAAGTCCAGGACTGCCGAACGTTTGTAAAAACAGCCTTCGAGATGCAGCTCCAGCTTTCGTCCATGTGTGGTAAACGTCTGCATCAAGTCTCTTACAAACCAGTTATTTCTGATATAACGTCTAAAATCCATACTGGTGCCAACCCTTACAGTACCACAGGCTCTAGATGTTTTCTGTTGTTGTTGTTCAAGGGGATGTTTTATTGTCCTGTTGTGTTCTCATGTTAATATAGAAGGAACACATCCTGACGTTCACGGTAACAGTTTTGTTGAAATGTGTTGAAAGGTTTTTTATTTTTAGGTTTTGCAC